TTTTGTAAGTGGAAACGTGACATGTATATGTGTGTGTGTGTGTGTGTGTGTGTGTGTGTGTGTGTGTATGTGTGTATGTGTGTGTTTGTACCTTTGTGTGTTTGCATGAATGAGGTAAAATAGGTGTGTTAAAAATGGATAATGTGAGGACATTAATTTTCAAAGCTTGCAGAGTTACAACTTCATTTTTGTTTGACTATTGGTTTATTATTATAATTGTTAGTTCAATATGGAAAGGGGGGAGGAGGGTCTAGTGAAAACATGCAACCAACAGTAAAACAGAACTGAAGTATTAAGTCAGCAAACTTTTAAAAATGATATCCCCACGACCTCCATTGTTTGACTCTGCTCATATTTTTCTGTAGACTCCTCATGACATGTACTTGTGTGTTTATTCTGTTGCTTAAAGTGTTACAGCTCTAATTTTCTCTTCCAATTGATATCAAACTACTTTTTTATCAGTTGTTAATTATAGTTTATTCCAAAGTGCCTGGAGTTGTGATTGCAGAAGTTAAAGGCTATCAGTCGTGTGAGTCTCATCCCAGACGAAAAAACTAGAAGCCAGATGGGATTTTTCTCAAAATGGGAATGGAATTGAATGGCCAGAAGGCCATTATACTTACAATGATGGAAGCCTAAAGCTATTCAGCTGTCTCCGGTGACGGCATGGTTTTACGTGAATGTTAATTAGTTTCTACATCCAGAAGAGGAAATAAATTATTTTACCTTACTGAAATGGCTTGTAATTAGAGGAACTAGACCAGCAGCGATAAGGGACTCGTTCAACATATTGAATTTTTTTTTTTTTTAAAGGAACGGTGGAATGTACCATGAAGCTCAGTGAGAATATAAAAATCTGGAACTGAATTGAAAGATGCTCACTTTAAAAAATAATGCATTGGTCTGTTCGTGCAATATCTTTTTCTTGAAGAAAACTCAGAAAATTGTACTTTGTGATACAGTAAAAATTCAACTACTGCGAAATATACCTATCAATGGCTATGACATACAAATATGTTTTATGATCTTAATTAGAAATACTTGTTTAGAAGATATAGGTCTTATATTTACTTTTCCATTAAAAAATGTAAGACCAAAATATGAATTTCTTATCTATTTCTTCTGGAGCCAAAGCTTTGATTAAAAATTTAAATGTAGGGGTCAGAGACCTGGTGCAATTGTTTCTGATTTAAAATATTTAAAAAAACAGATGATGGTCTTTAACCTAGACTGTGGTGTAGGTTATCACAAGTCTCTTTCCTTTGCTTCGTCAGATTATCCCGTTCCTGAAATCGTCAACTGTCCTTCTGGATCGAAAGTCAATGGTGACTACATCATGTCCGGGTCAACAGCCACTTGTGAATGTCGTCAGAAAACTGAGGGTTTTCCTGCAGGCACAGTTGTTCTGTCTCAGGGCCGGTCTACCTTGGGTTCAGGAACTGTCGCCTCAGGGAATGTCATCAACCCTGGTGTGTTAGAAGTTCAAGTCAAAGTAGATTTACATATTATTTTTTACTTCCCAATGACAATCTCTGTACGCCAATTGTTTTCATTTCTGTGGCCTCAGTACTACTGGGAGACATACAACACTGCAGCATGTTAGTCGTTTGACTTGCTCACCTACTTCATATCATTTATTTATGACCTGATGCTAGTTGGTATCGGAATATCATGAGGTCCAGGCATAAATGTTCTACTGGATTTTATAGACTGAAGCAGCATCCACAAAATGATGACCACAATATATGGCGACTAAAAGTTTAGTGCAAATATCAGACCGAGACTGTGTTGTTGTTTTTTTCTCTGTGAACATTTCAGTATTGTGTTATGCCTGCTAATAGTAGACCCTTACGTCCCTTATTGAACTTAATTATAATTTTTCAGAGAAAATTAAATTAATAACCTTTTGTAAACTCTCATGGATCTTTTACAATGACCACATCACCTAGAAAGTGGTTTTTCAAAACGGGTCAAGCTATTACGTCTTGTGAAGTCATCCTGATCACAGGGAAAGAAAAGCAGAATGAAGTCACCAGAGTACTCCTCACTATCAAAAGGAGCCGGCAGGACAATCCTGAAAAGTACAGAATTATGAAAAGGAAGGAGACAAACAGAGGGAAGGGTGGGGGGGGGGTGGGGGGTGGGAGCAGACTTGAGCTGGATGAGAGGACAGCATTCTGGAATGGGCAGGCCTGAACCTAGGCCTACCCTGAGAGATATATAACAGAGGGGGGGGAAGGGGGGGGGGGGCTAGAAAGAATCCGTAATCAAGTCATCCTTGTTGCCCTAAAATCTACGAGATAAACATAAAGAACTATGATTGTGAGGCCTGTAGGGAATATACTCTAAGCAGTATTGGAACCTCTAACCTTTCCATTTCAAGTTCGACCCCCAGATCTGTTCCAGCCTGCATTCCCCCGGCCACCTCCATAATACAAACAATGAAAGAAAACAGACATCCAGCAACAACATAATCTGAATCCACATATCACTCCTTAAAGCAACAAAAAAAAAAATAATCAAAATTGTTTTTAAGGTTTCTTTTCTTACTTTCCCCATTCACATGATGTCATTTCTTTGTAGAGTAATGGGCTGTTGGTATGTAAACTTTTTTGGGTTTATTTCTCGATCTATTACTTGATTAGTAATTAAGTTTTTGTTAAGATTTTAACTTAGTTGCAGTTTCCTGGAGGCGTGTGCATTCATTCAGTTATAACATGGAAATTGATTTTTTTTTTAAATGATACGTTTGAACTATTGTCCTCAGCTCCTTTGAGTCACAAGGTGGGCTGCCCTCTATCCCGTACCCGAGTGACACCTTTAATATTGTTATTGTGTTTTCTTTTTCTTCTATAATCAAACAGTGCACGTGGTTTTTTGATCTAGTAGCAGGCGGCCAAGACTGCCAAAATATTCCCAACTGTGTTAGCAGATATCTGAGTCTGTATTGTAATTTGACATTTCAGGAAACATCAACAATGACCAGACGTTGACTTGTCGTTCTGAATCTTCTCTGGGTCAAGCAGGTCCCTCTGTCTCCGAGACTGTCATGTTTGCCTGTGAGTGTTCTCAGTTCTTATGGACTTTAAATGCTCAGTACATTTTATCTGTCTGTCATTCCTTCAATTTGTTCTTGATTGTCTGCAGCAGCACTGTGTGAAGATGTTTACACTCTTCTGGACCGGTCTTCTCAGTAATATAGATACTAAAAGGCAGGTTTATGAAGATAACATGGAGCCGATGTAACATTTGATCCATCTTCGTCATATAGTAGTGTGTGGTATTCTGCAGGAATTAAACACACAGAAAACTAGTTGCCAGAAGTGTGGTCTATTTGGTTGTTTAATTTGCAATCTGGCGTGTTGGTCAGTGGCAGGGGGTAAGGCCGAGCGTATTGTATTGTTTGGCTGAAAGTGTGAGAGTGAGTAGAATGTAAGTCTCAGTTCAGTTATATTGTTTTGTGCAAGTGTATTAAAGCAATCTGGGATACTACAGGTTAGACTTTAGAGGGGAGAGCTGTTGCAAGGCAGAAGAGGCCTGCTGAGAGTTCGGGTTGAGAAAAGGCTAGTTAGAGCCTTGGTTTATTTCTGTGTAACGTGTGAGATTCCAACGCATCGGGGCCCCATCGCTGTGGAAAGGATCATCACCGAGGGAGAAACAGGTTTTGCTAAGCCCTGTTGTAGGCGCTGGCAGACAGAAGGTTAGTGTTAAACATTGTTTTATGTTCAAGTAACAACAAGAAGTAAAGCAATCCAATAATACAGCTGTACAATGCACTAATTATTTAAATACATAATAAAACAAAAAGATTTATCAAATGTGATCTAAAAACAAGTCTAACAGAGTATGGAGGCATGTTATCATTGTTATAAAAATACGTTTTTATACAGCTTTCATATTTCCTGCCCGATTCAGAGAATTCAAATGAAAAAATGACACATGGATAATGAATGGAAACATGACGTGTGTCTTAATCCATTAAGTTTTCTATTCTTACAGATGGACCAAGTAGCGCTACCCTGACCTTCTCACCGACAAGCCCGTCCAGTTTGTGTCAAGGCACCAGTCTCAGTATTGCATACTCTTGTGCTGTTGACCCACGTACAGTAAACCCTCAGGCAGTCTACAAAATCTCCGTGAACGGTACACAAGTAGGCACATCTGTACAGCAGACTCTACAGTTGCAGGGCGGAGCTCACAACGTCAGATGTCTTGTTGAGAACTCGTTATTTCCCGCTGATCTCTTCACTGATGTCACTGAGACTTTCACTGTCTTAGGTTTGAATTGTTTTTCTTTATAATGCTGTCTCTTCACTGGTGTCACTGACACTTTCACTGCCTTAGGTTTGTTATTTTCCTTTACTCCTTCACGTTGTTGTCTTTTATGAACTTGCTTTTCCTGGAAAAATGGTAGGTCTGGGAATATCAGAAAACGCACATGTATTCGGGTTTGGATTTGCTGTCTTTTTTCTTTTTTGTAAAGTGCTTTTACGGCGCTCGCAACTGCATAAGGTCATATGAGCGCGCGGAACACACCTAATATTTTCTGTTGGTAGGAAATTTTGAATTTTGCCCGGGTGGCGGCCGAAGCCTACTTTTATCGATTTTAGACCACCAAGAGATCTTTAACGTGCGCAACTTGCACACGGGCCCATCGAGATTTTTTCCCCTTGTCCGAGAAGGCTACGTGTAGATCTTTCCTACCAGAAGATCAGGGGTGTGGCAGAAAGACAGCAGTAAGGAGGAGCCAAGGAGTAGCAGTAGAAAGGCTGCAGAAAGAGTCAAGAGCCCAGAGGAGGGGGCAAAGGAGGTGAGGGGGCGGGGCAGAAAGTGGAAATGAAAGCAGACAACAGAACATTGCTAGAGAACAGGAAAGAAGGTGAAAAGAGACAGATTTTTAGAGAAGAAAATTTTTCGGTCGCTACCCGGATTCGAACCTGGAACCTTTGAATGAGAGGCCAACACCTTAACCTCTAGGCCACGAGAGCCCCGATTTGCTGTCTACTCACACAGTTGTTCTTTTTGTATGACACGCTACGTGGCCACATTTTTATTTCTTCGGTTGTTGTAGAGACATAGTTGAACCTGCCCAGACGGCCACCTGTATAATACAACCACTTTACAAACGGCCACTTTTCTCAACCCTCTCCCCGCCCCTTGTGTTTTTCTATAATATAGCATGTGTATTTATTGACCCTTAACGCTGTGAACGAGCCGTTGTCATCCATTCACATATCGTTTTCGTCTCCCTTATGAATTAACCAATCACTGTCCTGCACATTACGGAAGCAAGGTTTTAAACCACTTCCATTAGTTACTCTAGTTGACAGGTCGATTGATTTTCTTCATTTCGGTCGCTTGTAAAATAATGAAATTGAAGAATCTGGCATTTTTAAGCCAGTTTGGTTATTTTTATTGAATTAATTTTTGGGTCAAATTCTTTTACGTCCATTCAATATGCATTTCTCTGTGGACGTTACTGAAAAATGTTGATTAAAGGAAAAAAATTGTAAGTTTTTCAGTTACCATGGACTCTCAAGCTACAGAAATAACCAAAATTTGGTGGCCATTTTCTTGTTAATTTAACCCTTCGAACAGGCAACCTCCATCTCCTTCAATTTCGGGTATCTCGACTTCTAGACAAGGTAAATGGGCAGTATTACCGGAAAACAAATGAACAGGCTTTAGTAAGATCATATCAATAGCTCCACATGCCCAAAAATTGACGAGCACCTGATTCCACGTCGTCGTGACACATATTTTGTCACCTTGACAACGGGTGGCAGTCTTAGACAATTTTGTTTTAGTAGTAGTAGTAGTAGTAGTAAGCGTTTTACGGCACTCGCAACTGCATAAGGTCATATGAGCGCCAGATGATTGGAGGTGTCACAAGAGAGTAACAAACATAAAAAAGAAGAAGGGGAGATAAGGACGATAGTTTTCTATAGGAAAGAAGGAGCAAACCACAACAGAGCACCCGCCAACCACCCAATCCTGACAATTTTGTCTGTAGTTTTGTTTTTAATTTTTGTAGATAATGTTGGGATGTTTTCTGATCTCTCAGTTCTTGTTGATATTTTTGTTTCTTCTAATCTCTCAGTCCTTTTTTATTTAATTAATTAATTTATTTATTTATTTATTTTTTAAAATTTATTTATTTATTTATTTATTTTTTTTAAATTTTAATGGGTTTTTTTTTTTGGGGGGGGGTGTAATCTCTCAATTCATGTAGATAGTTTGTTATGTTCTTTTTTCCATTTCCCCAGTCCCTCCGCCAGATCCTCCTGAGATCAGTATGAGTAAGTCGTCGGTTCTCAGTACTGGAGAAACCCTGGTGAAGGAAAATGTCACAACCAGTGTGCAGTGTGTGGTCCGAGGGGGATATCCTGCTACAAGTGACGTGCGACTGAGCTGTCCTAGTTCTCAGGCCGGCAGCTCAGGTGTGAGTTCTGTGGTGGTAACTAGGTCAAAAGAGACACAATGCTCGTGTACGGCCACTCACGACAGTGGATGTTACAACAAACGGAGTGACGTCACCATCAGAGCTGCTTGTAAGTTGTGCATGTTTTCTGATCATATAAACGTGATAGAGGTGAAAGCAATGGGTTCATATTAATAAGAGGGTGTGGGGGGGGGGGGGGGGGGGAGGCTTCACCTGAAAGTCCCGATTCGGCTCTTTATAATAGATTTTGAATTGTAGGCATTTTTAGCTTCCTCGGATGCTCTTACAACTATTTCATCGCAGAAAAAACCCCTAAAGCCTGATTTTTTCCCATACCTGGCGTGTTTGTCATCACTATTTCCCCATAAATAACTAGTGAGACAAACACTACTGTGAATTTAAAAGAGTGCACATACTACACCGATTGAGGATAATGGGAAAATTTGAAAAGGGAGGAGGGGGGGTGTTTAAGGTGTATTCGTGTGTTTGTATTCCACTGCTGTTTTCTGTCTCAGTAATCCTTCCAATAATTTTGTTTGACCTTATATTTCCTTTATTTTTTTTTCATTTCTTTTTTGTGTCTCGAAACTTTCACAAAAGCCGAATAATTTATATTGACAAGTGATTTTGTAACCTGATTTTCTCCCTCCCTTTCCTTGTTGTTGTCTCCTTATCCAGATGGCCCAGCAGACCTCAAGTTGGAGAGAAAAAACGTGGGACCAGAGGAGGCCGGAACGTATAACCTGTGTCCGTCAGCTACACCAGATATAACCATGGAATGTTCTGTGGGAGTTGTCTACCCAGCAGCAAGTTTGACCCTCACAATGAGGCCAAAGGGAACACTCAATGTTTTTTATTGTACAAGAAACAACAAGTGTTCCACAGAATTTGTACCGTCAAGGGGAGGTAATCACGAGTTCATGTGTTACTCCGTGAACAGTGCTTTTGCGGATATGGCGGGAGACAGTCCACCTGTACAGGTCTACGTACGAGGTGAGAAAGACTCTTTAAAATTCAAAATAAATTATTAATGAAATCGTGAAAATCATAATACACATGTATTGTGCTGATACTTATATACACTAATTAGTTGTTCTATTTCGTTTATTCCTCAGCATGCGGATCCCATGAAACAACATAGCCTTATAGATAGTAAAACAACAAAGAGAAAAAATGTGTGTCACCGATATGGAAAGCAGGTGCTCATTAATAAAACAAAAATAAAAATGTTAAATGATATATAAATAAATAAAATTAAATAAACAGGCTTTTTCCGCTCATTGGGCAAGTTTTACTTTTTTTTCAGCTCAACATCGTTAACATCCACATTTATATTTTATTATGTTCCTGAAAAATGTAGATCAACAGCCCAGATAACGTCATGCTCTTGTGAGTAATGCTTAACGCCTCCATTCGTCTGACCAGAACCTCCCAAAGATGCCCCAAAACTGACCCTCAACGGTAAAGATTTCACTGGTGCAACTGCAGAGAACGTCGTTGTTTTTGTTGACGGTCAAGAAAACAGTGTGGTTTGTCAAGTTGAAGGAGGATTCCCGGAAATCTCGCCCTCCGACATCTATGTACAGTGTGACAGTGAGAACGTGACAGATGGAAAAGTTGTGTTCACACCTGATAGAAACACCACCAACTGTATTTGTCGGGCACAACATCCTAGTGGATGCTACGACTTGTCCACTGAAGTCCTCGTCATTGTAATACGTGAGGTTTTTTTCTGTTTTTCTGTGGTGTGTGAGTGTGTGTGTGTTTGTCTGCGTGTGTGTATGTGTTTATCGGTGTGTGTATGGGCGTATGTACGTGTGTGTACATTTGTATATTATAGGTGTATCTGTGTGTGTTTGTATGTTTGTCTGCGTGTGTGTGTGTGTGTTTGTCAGTCTGTGTGTAGGTGTACGTAAGTGTGAGTGTGTTAGCCCACATGTCCACCAAAACAGAAACAAATGACATAAACCATACATTTCTCGAGAAATCGGTAGATGAAATAGAGCCCCATTTAATCCCTTAGCAATCAGTGAAGTTCCCTTTGGATTTGTTCACCAAAACGACCCGACACATACCGACAAAAGATAGGTCGGTTGGGATGTCACCTGCTGCATTTAAGTGGGGTGTATCGTTTGTCAATAGCCATAGGCCCAGCAGAGTTTTAAAAATCTTTTTTAAAAACTCCGATTCAAATTAATAATTTTTTTTTAAAAACTTGACCTGCGCCTCAAGTTACCAAAGTCTGCTCGTAATCCATCAGTTTGTGTGCATATTATTAACAATCTTACGTGTTTTGTTTCGTTTTGTTTTATTTTGTTTTGCTTTGTATAGCTTTTTTAAAGAATCGTTTATGGTTTTCATTTATGGTTTGATATTTTTGCCTTGTGTTCCTTACCCTTTAGCCAGTTTACTATGACGCAAACGAACAGACCGAATTGCCTCGTCTCGACAAACAATTTGTTCGATTCTGCTTACGTGGACACGCAGCCTTATTCGAGTTTTCAATTTTAATACGTTTTACGGCACTTGCACTACAAACCGAGTATATAAGTGTCGACGATTAGAGGTACTACTTGAGAGTAACAGACACAGAAAAAGAGGAGAGAGAAGAATGATAAACGTTTGTTAGGAATGACAGAGTAAACCACATCTGAGACCCCACGAAACACAAATATTCATTTGTATTTGTGAGGCATCGTGGTGAAACCAGGCGTTCGCTGGTCAGAATAATGAAATCGGAGAAAAGAGCATCTTTCTTCTCGTTTGGCAATTGTTAAAAATCGAATTTTTTAAAAAAAGAGGGGGGGGGGCCTAAACTTTTTTTTTTCATTTATTAACACGTTGCTGTGTGGAATTTACAGGAAAAAACATTGATTTAAGGCACACAAAAAAGTAAATTTAGTTTCCAAGACCTATTAAGATTTGAATTCTCCACACTTGTGTGACATTTTCCCACTAATGTCCATCCTCATCCTCACATACATCATCCTCATCCACATCCTCATCCTCACCACGCTCATCTTCATCTCCACCGCCAACTACATCTTCATCTTCACCTCCATCATCACCTCCATCCCATCATCCTTCATCCAATAAAGCCCCTCCAACCATTCCCCGCACCTGCTCCCCCTCCTCTACCCGCATCCAGGACTCTGGTCCTCCTCCTCCTGCACACTCTCCTTCCAAAAAAGCTGCGGTCCACCGTGACCGCAGCAAAACAATACAAAGACAAAGGTCACCAACGACCAAAAAAAATGTACCAAACCCGTGCCCTCAAAATAAATAAAAATGGCAGTTCTTCAGTTTAACATTCGCGGTTTGCGTGCAAACCAGGCAGAACTCTCATATCTTTTGACCTCACACACCCCATATGTAATCTGTCTACAAGAAACTAAATTGCCAACACCCACATTCACATTTTAAAAAACTATCAAACATACAACCAAATATACACCGACAACCAAATCGTCTCTGGGGGCAACTCCATTTTAATCAATAACCAAACACTACACAGACAAATACAGCTAAACACAACACTTCAGGCAGTTGCGGTCAGGGTCACCCTACACCGTCCTATAACTATCTGTTCAATATACATCCCTCCAAATTATCCTCTATCTTTAAGGGAACTAATAAACCTCAGAGACCAGCTCCCACAACCCTTCGTCATGTTGGGAGATTTTGTTGCCCATAGCCCTCTTTGGGGAAATGAACCAACTGACACTAAAGGTAAAATCATAGAAGATTTCTTAACAAAAACAAATACTAGTATTTTTAACGACAATTCCCCAACATTCCAAAATTCAAATAACCTAAACTATTCATCCATAGATTTAACCCTATGTTATCCTGACCTAATTCCAGACTTTTAGTGGTCGGTCCTGGACGACCCACACGGATCAGACCACTTCCCCGTCAACCTAATTTCAGGCAGTCCACACCGAACTCCTATCCCGGACCGTTTCAATCTTAAAAGAGCGGACTGAGATGGGTTTCACATGGAATGTCTGGAGAAACTCAATCCATCTCAAACACAAACACAAACTTTCGAACGATTTCATGAAACCCTTCTCGAAATCGTTCAAAAACACATACCAAAAGTATCCACCAAACCCCGAAAAAACAAATGTTGGTTCACTGAAGACTGCCAAAAAGCTGTTGCGGCCAAAAAATCAGCTCTCAGGAAGTTCGTCAACTCTAAAACAAACGAAGACCTCATTAATTTCAAAATTGCGCGAGCCCAAGCACGCAAAATAATTAGAACAGCCAAAAAAACATCTTTTCGAAATTATGTCTCTAAAATAAACAACAACATACCAATGCAAAAAGTCTGGAAAATGATAAAGAAATTAAAAGGTACTAAAAAAGACACAATCAAACACATCCTAAAACCGAATAACTCCTTCGTAGAAACCGAAAAAACAGTAGCTGACTGTATAGCATCAACTACTTCCGGAAATTCCTCTACCCACAATTACAGCCCTGAATTTAAAAAAGTAAAAATGTCTTCTGAAAAGACAACTGTTGATTTTACCTTTTCAAATGAAGAAAACTATAATGCATCTTTTCTCTTAATGAATTAAAATGTAATATTGCAGAACTATCAAACACAACTCCAGGCCCTGATCAAATACCCAACGAAATCATCAAACGTCTTCCAGACGAAACACTCCTATTAATCCTTGATATTTGCAATAAACTCTGGCATTCTCAACAATTTCCGAACAGTTGGCGTCTTGCCACTATTATACCTATCCCAAAACCAGGAAAAGATCACTCTAATCTGTCAAACTAACGTCCCATAGCCCTTACAAACTGTTTATGCATACTTATGGAAAAACTTATTAACAAACGTCTAATGTGGTTTCTCGAAACTTCAAACTCCTTATCCAATTTCCAATGCGGTTTTCGCAAAAATCGCTCTAATATTGACCATCTCGTCCGACTTGAAACTTTCATTCTGGAAACTTTCATTCGAAAAGAGCACCTTGTGGCTATTTTTTCGACTTAGAAAAAGCCTTCGACACCACATGGAAACATGGTATTT